TACTACCTTTCTTGCTCCATTACTACCTTTTTGTTACCTGCCCCGCCGCGGTGGTCTAGTGGCTAAGGGTACTCGGCTGCTGACCCGCAGGTCGCGGGTTCGATTCCCGGCTGCGGCGGCTGCATTTCCGATGGAGGCGGAAATGTTGGAGGCCCGTGTACTCAGATTTGGGTGCACGTCAAAGAACCCCAGGTGGTCAAAATTTCCGGAGCCCTCCACTACGGCGTCTCTCATAATCAAATAGTGGTTTTGGGACGTTAAACCCCACAAATCAATCACTTTTTGTTACCTGGCTGCTGACTATTTAATCCAAAACAGTCTGTGATTACGATTCTGATAATTTATGAGAGGAATCGTCTCGACGTGTCATCATTAAACAAAAAAAAAACGACACAGGAGATATTCATAAATCAAGTAAAAAAAACTTGTTTTATGTTACGCAACCGAGATATGTAAACAACAGTCTGATATTGTCGAAACGAATAAGTACAAGTTCAAAAACCATAAGCAAGTGCTACACACGTTGTAATACACAATTGCATCAAACTTAGTAAGTTACTGCAAATTAAAGAGACTGGCAGATCAAAATAACAAGACGGTCACAATTAATCCGGAGGACGGTCACAATTATTCCACTGCGGCGTGTCTCCAAATATTATCGCTGTTTGGCACGTCTCCAGAAACGATTATTACCTTTTCTGATATACTAGCTGTGTGAAGCATTCAAATGCACTGAGACTATCTTAATATGTACGGTACCCTGTTTCGGCCACTTTAAATAATGCCTTTTTGTGGGCTTTTTATAATGGGTAGATAGGACATATATGTTTTTCTTTTACAACTAAGACTTATTAAAGGTCTTGTGCTACGTCCCCAAACACACGTAGTCAGATAGTATGATATAGTGCTCCAGATTCACATTTGCTATAATTCATCCAGAAAGACAAGTGCTTCCCTGTTCCAGACTTGCATCTGCAAAGTAGGGGCTATATATACCCCACGTGTACTTCCTACTGTAGCGTAAAAGATAGTGAACTTCTTAGGCCTATGTATTCTTTGCACTCATCACGCCAGATTACCCGAGGTTGTGTAGTAAGGAGACATTGATTCACCAACATGGGCATTCAAGAAAAAATATACCAAAATAAATGAGCAGGGTAGTATCGGTTGCTATTTTTTTGAAACCTTTAAAAGTTACTACTCATGGGTGGCAACGGCTAGGGTAGTAACAGTTACTAAATCCTGGTAGTGACAGCAAAGGTGGTAACTGCTACCACCCTCGCCGTTACTAACTGCGCTTACTACCAGGGTTATAACATATGTGACAAACCGTTACTACCCCAAAGTTAGCATGTACTACTACATTTTTTCTAAGAGTATACCTGCAGCGTGCTCAATCGGGAGATGAAGCAACTACAGCCTATACTCGCGTCGTCTAGTGGCGAGCGAAAAAAGAAAACAGCAGTCATTTGTGATATATATAGCGTACAGCGCTTTAGCGGCAGCAAGGTAGCAACGCCCTCTCTCTTCAAGGCGATCATGCCAAAGGCCGATGTCGTGGCGCTTGTGGGCCACATCCTATCTCATTGGTGGTGTAGCACTTCGGCAATGCACTTGCGGCATCCTTCAGTGCTTGTTTTGCGTCACTTATTTTCTTGATACGGGAAACTGGTGTGCATTTCACAGAACAAAAAAAATAAAACTGGTTTGCAACTCGAGCCGCTGTTGTACTGTTGTGTCGCGCAGTACAGTATAAAAAACAAACAAACAAAACGGGGCTCAAGCAGCCGGTTGCCGGATGGGAAAGATTGCTTGGTGTGGCGCTGTTGTTTTTCTTTTTGTTTCTTTCAGAACTCGTATATCGGGTGTGCCAAGCAAATTCTATTTTCTAAAGCAGGGGTGGCTGGTGGAAACCACTACAACAAGCGGCTTTTTTTTCAAGAAAACTGTGGCGAAGGCATGGGTGCTCCTATACGGCAGCAAATAAAACAACGCGAAAAAACAGAAATCACGTGCATTACCAAATCTGCCGATGAGCAACGAACAAGCGTTTCTTTAAGATACGGCTTTTGGATGGGGCAACAGCAGGCTTCGCGGCTTTCCGCCCCTGCCTTGTAAAATGGAATGTGCTTGGCAATCTTGCTATCGATGTGCTCGTGAACCGGGTGTATCGATTTTGCGGCTCCGACCACCGGTCACTTGTGATAATCTTTTTTCGTTGCGACTGTACACTGTCAATTTTTTATGAAATTGAACACGCGGGTGGTAGGCCTACGTGCTCCGGTGTTGTACACTCTTAAAAAAAACGTTAGTAAAAAGGTAGAGACTGCGAGCAAACAGGTAGTAACTGCAGCGATTACTGCCTTTCTCGAGCCATTACTGCCCCTTTCTACCTGTTTACCACCTACGTTAGTAAACAGTTACTAGCTGCAGCCGTTACTAACTTTTTGCGACCTGTTTACTACTTATGTTAGTAAACAGTTTGTAACTGAAATGAAATAGGTAGTAACTGCATCCGATACTACCTTTCTTGCTCCATTACTACCTTTTTGTTACCTGCCCCGCCGCGGTGGTCTAGTGGCTAAGGTACTCGGCTGCTGACCCGCAGGTCGCGGGTTCGATTCCCGGCTGCGGCGGCTGCATTTCCGATGGAGGCGGAAATGTTGGAGGCCCGTGTACTCAGATTTGGGTGCACGTCAAAGAACCCCAGGTGGTCAAAATTTCCGGAGCCCTCCACTACGGCGTCTCTCATAATCAAATAGTGGTTTTGGGACGTTAAACCCCACAAATCAATCACTTTTTGTTACCTGGCTGCTGACTATTTAATCCAAAACAGTCTGTGATTACGATTCTGATAATTTATGAGAGGAATCGTCTCGACGTGTCATCATTAAACAAAAAAAAACGACACAGGAGATATTCATAAATCAAGTAAAAAGAGAACTTGTTTTTATGCTTACGCAACCGAGATATGCTAATACAAACAGTCTGATGATGTCCGAAACGAATATAAGTACAAGTTCACAAAAACCATAAGCAAGGGGCTACACACGTTGTAATAACAAATTGACATCAAACTTAGTAAGTTACTTCAAATTAAAAGACTGGCAGATCAAAATAACAAGACGGTCACTATTAATCCGGAGGACGGTCACAATTATTCCACTGCGGCGTGTCTCCAAATATTATGCTGTTTGGCACGTCAACTCAAGAAACGATTATTACCTTTTCTGATATACTAGCTGTGTGAAGCATTCAAATGCACTGAGACTATCTTAATATGTACAGTACCCTGTTTCGGCCACTTTAAATAACGCCTTTTTGTGGCCTTTTTAAATGAATAGATAGGACATATTTTTTTCTCTTTTACAACTAAGACTTATTAAAGGTCTTGTGCTACGTCCCCAAACACACGTAGTCAGATAGTATGATATAGTGCTCCAGATTCACATTTGCTATAATTCATCCAGAAAGACAAGTGCTTCCCTGTTCCAGACTTTCATCTGCAAAGTAGGGGCTATATATACCCCACGTGTACTTCCTACTGTAGCGTAAAATATAGTGAACTTCTTAGGCCTATGTATTCTTTGCACTCATTGCACACCACGCCAGATTACCCGAGGTTGTGTAGTAAGGAAACATTGATTCACCAACATTAGCATTCAAGAAAAAATATACCAAAATAAATGAGCAGGGTAGTATCGGTTGCTATTTTTTTTAAACCTTTAAAAGTACTACCCATGGGTGGCAACGGCTAGGTAGTAAACAGTACTAAATCCTGGTAGTAACAGCAAAGGTGGTAACTGGTTACCACCCTCGCCGTTACTAACTGCGCTTACTACCAGGGTTGTAACATATGTGACAAACCGTTACTACCCCAAAGTTAGCAAGTACTACTACCTTTTTTCTAAGAGTATACCTGCAGCGTGCTCAATCGGGAGATGAAGCAACTACAGCCTCTTTTTGCGTCGTCTAGTGGCGAGCGAAAAAAACAGCAGTCATTGGTGATATAGCGTAGCAGCGGCTTTAGCTGCAGCAAGGTAGCAAAGCCCTCTCTCTTCAAGGTGATCATGCCAAAGGCCAAACCAGGTGTCCGTTTTTGTCAGGTGATTTTGTTTATTGAATTCATAAAGTTTTTTTAACAGTGAACAGATTTAATTGACCTGCCAATGATACGACGGGAAAGAAATATCGGCATGCATTCATGTGGGTAATCAGCTTTACTCTCAAAATGTAAAACGTTACTTGTGCTCCAAAACACGTTTATACATGGTAGAGTCAACATAATCAGAACTATAAGAGTATTTGGGATCTCGCCTGCGTGTTCTCTGGACCAGAATAAGTTGAATTGAACAAAAAAATAGGAATCAGTCATTTTCATTTGCTTGCGTTTCTTCCGTCGCGACCCCATGAGCATCGTTTGTAGCTTGCCCAAGAGCTTCCAGTGCAGCATCTGAAATTTCCTCTGTTGAGAAATGCTGCTTTTTCGTTAATTTGTTTTGCATCTCTGGGGAATTTAGTTTGGTTTTGCAACATATTGTGATCACTCTGGGTTGAACGGTGTGTTTGAGCGATCCAAACCGAGGGCCAGTTCGAATTAGCCGTCGTGGATACCGACCTCTTGGAATTATCGGGAGTTTTCCACTCTTAGAAATACACAGGACTGTCCCGGCACATAGGTGGCACTTTGAGTTAACTGTATACGTTGGAATGAACGAGGTTTTACTATTCTACAGTAAAACACATCACCGTCCATTGCCATTAAAGGAACGTAAGTTATCCCAAAAACTATCGCCTTTACACATATATCCAAAGCGGTCCGCTAGTCTGTTCCAGTGTGGAATCGCTTGCGGCAGTCATGACGAGTCGAGTGTGCGCGTTTGACCACGACGCGCATGCATGGAACTGAACGAGCTGTGCGCACAATTACGAGTCGTGATGATGCCCGTAAAGGTTTCAACGACATTGATTTCTTCAAGAGTGAAATCTGCCTGACGCAGGTGGCCGTTTCGGCTGTGATGACTCGGCAGAACGCGGTGCCCTTGACGGACACCGCTGGCGTAGAAGAGGAGGACGGTACGGACGCCATGACTGCCATGGTTCCCCTCTGGGACATGTGCAACCACAGTGACGGAAAGGTACTACTACTACTACTACTACTACTACTACTACTACTATTACTACTACTACTACTTCTACAATAATAATAATAATAATAATAATAATAATAATAATAATAATAATAATAATAATAATAATAATAATAATAATATAATGAAAAAGAAGAAGAACAAGAAGAAGAAGTTGTATGTCCCAGAACCACGATATTGCCACACGGGCCCCTTTCTATGTTCTACGTCGCCGGCCTCCTGCTCGTGTTGGTAATGCTTTACGCAAACCGCGTCAGAATTGGGGGGGGGGAAGCATTCCAGATAACATTAGGATCATCTATTAGGATTTAGCCCGCAAACGCAAACAGCGGAGGCAATTCTCGAACGACCGCGGCCGCCTATGATAAGGCTGGAATGTTCACTGCTGCACGTATAAATGCCGACGTTCAGTTCGCCTCTATCAGTGCCAGTATGCATTGCTGTAATCGTGACTTTCTGTTCACTGGCCAGAAGTCCGACAAAAGAAAAAAAAACAGTTCAATCGTAAACATACAGACCACGTGACCATACGATTAGGCGGGACGCCAAAGTGAAGGGCTTTGGAAATTTCAATTATCCCCTGTTCTTGAATCAGCACTCACATCGCATCTTCAGTTTCAGTTTCAGTTTCAGTTTATTATTCATTTCAAAAAAGTAGTAAAGTAATATTAATATACAGACGAGGGTCCCAAAGTTAAAAACTGTAACGGGACCCTCACCCACTCTGCTCTCTTTACATCTTGAAAGATGTAAAGAGAGCAGAGTGGGTGAGGGAACAAACGGGAGTTAGGGATATCATAGTTCAACTCGGGAAGAAATGTGCTTGGGCCGGGTACGTAGCGCGTAGGCAGGATAACTGCTGGTCACTAAAGGTAATTGACTGGATTCCCAGAGAAGGCAAACGCACGAGAGGAAGACAAAGTTCCGGGGGCCGATGAGATTAATAAGTTTGCAGGTATGTCGTGGCAGCAGAAAACAGAAGACAGGGTTGATTGGCGGATCATGGGAGAGGCCTGCCTTTGCCCGGCAGTGGGCATATTCAGGATGGTGATGATAATGAGAGCGTACGGTACCTGACGGGCCTATACCATTTCGCTTCCATGGAAATGCGACCACCGCGGCTGGCTTCAAACCCGTCACCTTCAGGTCAGAAGCGGAGTGACGTAACCACTGATCCACCATGTCGGACAGTGATGGAAAGCTGGGTGGCATTCAGAGTTGCCAGATGGTAGCAAGCAAGTAACCTTCGTAAAAGAAGCCCGAAAGAATCGGTAATTCAATGAATTCTCCCACCTTTGAAGATATTTTAGGGGCGAAGCTCCTTATGGCGTGGCTTGTGCGTCCCTCGTTTTAAATAACCCCAGGTGGTCGAAATTTCCGGAGCCCTCCACTACGGCGTCTCTCATAATCATATGGTGGTTTTGGGACGTTAAACCCCACAAATCAATCATGTGCGTCCCTCGTTGTAGTGCGTAACCACCGGTGGCACATACCCGAAAGAGCGGTTCTTAGAATGTCCGCTGGGTGGCTGTACTTGTATATGAAGAATACATGATGAAAAAGATGTGATATGGTGGTACCTGAAGTGCTCACTAGATAGACGGACGGATGGATGGACATACAGATAGACGGACAGGCCGACAGGCATAAGGGGCGGACGGACGTATGGACGGATGGACGTACCGATGATCACAGGGATGGATGGACACACAGACGGACGCACGCAAGCAAGGACGAATGGACTGACGGAAGCATGGACGGACTGACGGACGCTTCCCCCCACCAATCATCATTCATTCCGTGGATATGCTGTGATTTTTTTATTGTCATAAATATTTTACCGAAATATGAAGGGGCGCAGAAGAAATTGCTTATCATATGGTGCAGCGAAAATACACGCTGAAATATAAAAGAGAGGATGCATTTTGCGAAGGTCGTCTTTAATATTGCTTTAGCTTGCTTAATTTTGTTTACGGATGTAGTGATACGGACGCATGGAACAGAAGTGAAAACGAGTACTGAAAGGTTGATTTTGCAGATTGTCTTTATTGTTTCTTTGTTTTTTTGTCATGCAGATCTTCACTGATTACGACATATCGGCCAATATGCTACGTTGCTACGCCATGCGGGACTTCGAAAAAGGACAGGAGGTATTTGTGTGCGCTTTGTTATTTGTCCATATGTGTCTGCATTCTTCCTATACTAATGAATTTGAACTAACAGAGAATAATGAGAACCAGGAGACAATATTCTCATCAATAATATGTTAGAAAAACAAGCCCCTAAATTTAGACTTCTTTCCTCTGTCCCCCCCATTCCCCCCCGTCTTTTTAAGTGTTCGTGTGGGTTTGTGCAATAGTGACAATTCCTGTGGTTTTACGGGCTAAACCACGATTTGATTTGGAGGAACGGCGTAGTAGAGAACTCCGCTAATTTCGACCTCTAGGGGTTCTTCGACTTGAACCTAAATCTAATCAAAACGGGCCTCAAGTATTTTCGCCTCCACTGAAAATGCCGCCGCCCTGGCCGGGTATGATTCCGTGACCTGTGGCTCACAAGTAGAGCACCAGAACCACTGGGTCATGGTGGCTGCCGTGTGTGTTTACGTCTTTTATCTTATTGTGTGCCGCCGCCTGTATGTGCTCGTGGGTTTTCTTTCTTGTTCAGACTTACATGTGGGCTTGTATGTGTGTGTTTCTACAGCATGTGTTTGCCTGGGTCTTTATAAAGGTATGCAACACTGTGTGTGAGCCTGTGTGCGTACCCACTTCCTAATGTGTTCGTGTTTATAATCGCATTTAAATGTTTGTGCGTATATGCTTTTCTGTGTGTGGTTATTTCAGCGTGTGATTTTTTTTTGTTTTTGATGCACGTATTTTCTTGTAAGCTAGTATGTAGGTGTGTGTTTTCTGCAAGTCATTGTCTCTGTGTTCACGTGTGTGTTTGTAAGTAATAATGTGTGTATTCTGTACATTTGTATCTGCGTGTACGTGAATTGGCATGTGTAATCGTAATCGTGGCGGAGCAGCCTCAAACAAGAAAGAAAACGTTTTCGCCGCAAGGGCGAAGCAATGAATGCGATAGTGACATTTTGGAATGTAACGCTGAGAACTGCTAGCACATTAAAACGTGCAGCGCGATGCTCACACATAAATTATGCACAAAAACAACACACACAAGATGAGATCTAACTAACAACGTTTACAGCTCGACGCTTAACACGCTGTTTAAACAAAAAGCCACAGCTTTGCAGCAAAGGCGAAGCAATGAACGTGATAGCAACAATTGGAAGGTCACGCGCAGAATGGCAAGCAGATCAAAGCGTGCCCCGCGTTTCTCACGCACAAATGACGCACGAGACGTACTCACAGGTACAGATTAACACGAATATGTGACTCAGTTGCTACTTCGCTGTGTCTGAAAAGCGCGCCCTTTTAGCAAACGGAGACTGTGCAACGATTGCAATGACCTTTGTGCGCCCGGTAACTACAACAGAATCGCTCTGGTGAAAGTCCACAGCCAGCTAAAACGCACGATCTTCCCCACCGCGAGATAAGGGTGCGCGAGTGAGCGTCCACCTCCCTCCTCTCCGAGGAGAAAAGGACGCCACCCCTCACCCGTCCACATCCGCGGGGCAAAGTACGCTTGGGAGATAAGCGCGCGTTGGCGTATCGCGACGAGCTGGGTGCCGAGCACAGGTAGCTTTTTTTCTTTCTTCAGTTTTCAGGTATATAGATACGTATACATATATGGTGCATGGTGGCGGTGGCGGCGAAAACCAGCCGGGATTGTTCTTATAATTGCTATTGCAATAGAAATTTCGTATCGAACCCTTCGTCACTGCTGCCTTCGTCAACGTCACAATCTCGTTGCACTATGCTTGCCACACCTAGCAGATTGCATGTTTTCCCGTTTTTTATTTTGCTGTTTAGTTCTCCGTTAAAACAGCTGTAATCGGGGTGCTCTTCTGTGCGCGGTTTCAGGTGACAATCTTCTACGGGAGGCGCACCAACGCCGAGTTCTTCATTCACAATGGATTCGTGTTCCCGGAAAATCGACATGACTCCGTCGACATCAAGCTGGGTGAGAGAACGCCCACATCCGGGCTTTGAGGGGAAACGCGTTTTGTCCTGTTTCGTTCGATCCCCCTTCCGCACTTGCAAGTTTTCCAAGCCCCCATACGGTCGCTGTAGAAGTGGCTGTTCAGGTTCCACATTGCCGTGCTGTAGCTACAACGAAGCTCATCCAACTAGAGCAGTGTTCCGCCTTACTTAATATGCCTTAGTCTACGTTCGCCGGTGTACGACTCGTGTGACATGCGATTCGAGAATTTGTCATCCTGCAAACCGTCATCTAACTTACTGCGCGAGGAGAATCCGTTTCGTGGATGTATATTTGCTTCGTTTCGTCTTGCTGCCTAAGCAGCAGCCTGATATTGTAGCCTGGGCCAGAGCAGATCGTCTTAGCACTTGTTTGCTGTATCGCTAAAGCACAGGAAATATCAACGAGAACGCACTGGCAATCATGTCAAGTAAAGCATAGGGATTGTTATTATTGGTAAATGGAAAGAAAGAAAGAAGGACGAGAAGATGACCTGCTGCGGGGAAGGACCGAAGCAGCGACCTTCGAAAAACCTCCGATGTGCTCTACTAACTGAGCTAAAATGGCGGTCATCCCCTCATCCACTTTACGGGGGCAGATATGTGCGTTTAAACGTGGGAGTGTCAGTCAGCGTTGCTGGTAGCCATAACGGTGTTACTTGATGCCAGCAGTCACAAAAAAAAAGAAAAAACGTTTCACACTCGCTGTCATGGGGACTAGTGGCGCTGACTGACCCTCCTAGGTTTAGATCCACTTAGTACCCTACAAAATGCAAGAGGGATGACCGCCACTGTAGTTCAGTTGGTTTCCCGTCCAAAAACTTCAGCTCTTATTGCTTTGTAGTCATTAGCACGTGCTTTACTCTTTAATGCCTGCGATGTACACGTTCGAGTTAGCAAGCTGCCTTCATCGTTGCGTATCAGCTGTCACCTGCCTTTAATGATTTCTTTGCCCATGGCCTTTATCGTTGCTGCAGGTATCAGCAAGCAAGACCCTCTGTACGGCGTCAAGGCAAAGCTGTGCGATGATCACGAACTCACTCCGTATGTACTGCCAAAATGATCTATCTATCTATCTATCTATCTATCTATCTATCTATCTATCTATCTATCTATCTATCTATTATCTATCTATCTATCTATCTATCTATCTATCTATCTATCTATCTATCTATCTATCTATCTATCTATCTATCTATCTATCTATCTATCTATCTATCTATCTATCTATCTATCTATCTATCTATCTATCTATCTATCTATCTATCTATCTATCTATCTATCTATCTATCTATCTATCTATCTATCTATCTATCTATCTATCTATCTATCTATCTATCTATCTATCTATCTATCTATCTATCTATCTATCTCGCAGACATCGTATCTGACAAAGGTACCAAACGCACTGTTTCGATAAGGGCATAACTCTAGTTAAGCACTTAACATGCGTGTGTCGCGTCCTATATTTTGTCGACCTTTGTACATGGCGTTTATATCCTGACAATAAGAGTACGTGTTGCTACCTGCTTAACGGTCGTTTCGTTCTGCATTAAGTGCGCGTTGCGATATCGTCTTCTATACCCTACAGTTGCGCTACGTAAGAGCTTACGAGCGTCCTCGTTTGAAGCAGAACACAGTGGTATACCGAAGTTCCCTGCAAGAACACTGCGTATATGCAATACTAAAAAAAACATACAAATTGGTATTTTTTTGCTCATAGCATTGGTTTTTGCAAGCGCCTAAATACGTTTCCTTTCTGTTTTTGCCCCGTATTTTTATTCATTTCCTTCTAACAGGAGCGGCATATTCGCACTTGTTCCTCGAGAGCGTCCGGTGTGCGATGACCTCTCCACTTTTCTCAGGATTCTTGTGATGAAAGACGGTAAGCGTCTTGCTTCAGTTTTCCGTCTGCTCCACATCGCGTTGCCGCTGATGCAATCCGCATTGCGCGCTCAGGCCCACTGAAGCAGAAATAGGAAGCAGAAGGTTATGCGTGGTCTTGGGTAATTGAGCTGTAACGAACTTGGCTCTCGTGTCGCAGTCTAACGCTTTAGTGCAAACTAACGCGGGGCACACACCTACAACTACATTACGCTTCGTGGCGTCGTCCAAGTACGTCACAGTGCTATTGCTTAAGGCTCTTGTCGGTGCTTCGGGTTGCCCTTGGTGTTGCTTCGCTTCGCCATCAGTGCTGCTTTGCATTGTCGCGTTGCCTCTGGTGCCAGAAGAGCAGAAATAGGAACCAGAACGCCGTGCACGGTCTTGCGTAATCGCGCAGTAACATGCTCAAACGGGCTCAACTCGTTGCGCGCTACATGAAGCGATAACAGCTGCGTTGCGCTTCGCGTTACGGGCCCACAAACTAGCGCCGAAGCTCAAGCTAATGCGAATCGCAGAATAGATAATGCTTCGTGTTGAGGCGTGGCCAGTCCGTTTAAGTATATAAAAGTGCAGCTAGATAAACCGCCTGCCGCCGCTGCGTGATGCATATTGTGCTGCTTCGAGGTGCCATCTATGACGAATTTATATACAGCACTTGGTATAGACAAGATAGCTTTGCCGTAGTGGCCCGTAAATGACATTAGTGTTTACTTACTCCCGTATTCACAAACGCTCCTCGACTTGACTTTCACCCTTCGCTTGACAGAGCTGAGCACTGCGCCGCTGCTCGGCTTGAAGTGACTCTGCGCTACTCAAGAATCGCAGCAGATTATCGCTGATACGCAGTGAATTTCCCTGCCTAGAAATGGCGCTCCCATCGGCCTTCTTAAGTGAAGGTGGAGCGTTGAGTGGACGGACGTTTTAGAATACGGGGGTTAAAGTTGGTTTATTGGAGGCGAAAAGTGCCCTAACATTGCTTGTTGACAGTGACATTTTGAGGTTCCTTATTTAGTCCTAATGCTATGGTCTCTTTTTGGTGGTTGCGTGGGTGTTCTATTTTTTTTTTCTGAGGAGAGGGATCATCTATACGATAAGAAAGGTACAGATTGAATGCGAGAAAAAAAAAAGAGGGACGTATTATCAAAAGCCAAAATGGACGAAATCGTCATCCAAGCGCTCGTTGCGCGAAGCCACGAAGCAAACACTTGCGGGTTTCCCAGAAAAGAAGTGCTGCAGTAGTTTCTTGGTCGAGTATTTGAACCCGAAACCAAAGCGTTTCCAATACGTTCGCGCAACAATCCGAACCTTTAAAGAGGTTAGCAGGTCGAGGTACGAGATGGAATTAACCAAATAGTTTACCGTATGCACGTCACCTCGTGCGTCAAGTCGTGAATTAATTCATCCTGTGGCTGTGATTCGCTATGTTCTCTTGTTCGTCAGGTGGTAGAAAGAACAATTTAGCTAGGTGTTGGTCTTGGGTAGTACTCTTGGAACTGGAACTAGTTGCTTTCTACTGCGTGTTTTCTTTGTCTTTTTTTCTGAGAAAACTGCTTGTCTTTTTTCAAGAGGTTCGGTCGCTTTAAATGGCTGAAGATAATATGGCTAAAAATTAAAACAGAAAATATTTCATGAATACTTGCTTCATTCGATGAACCTCTGCGCAACAGATTATCTAGTTCTGATCGGGAGGCAATATTTAAGGTGGTAAGATGTGATAAACAAGTCAATTAATAACGTGACTGAATGACGAAATAGGCAGCCGTAAATTGCAGGAAGAGAGTTGTTTAAAATTGCTTGAAGTAGCTTTCAACGTGCACGACCCATACAATTAGCCTGGCTATCATAGTGCTTGAATAATTAGGTCATCAGGTATGACCTCTGCGGTGCGGGCTTTTTCCGAATGCAGCCTCGCAAGCCGCCTCGTTCACCGACGAGCACATCATGGTCGCGACCGACGACAATGCTCAGCAGGCACTCAACTTCCTCGTCGTCCGCATTCAGCTGCTTCTCAGGGCATTCCCAAAAAGTGAACAGGTGAGTGTATTGAATAAATAATTAAACAAATCACTCAGTTTGTCATTAATCTAATTCATTCCATTAATAAAAAAAGCATGATATGGTCAGCCTAAGATGTTGCTGTTGTGTCACAGTGTCTGCCGTTGCTGTACACGTACGAGAAATGAACGTACGAGAAAAAAATGTATTACTAAAAAACAAACACTGGAAGTAGTCGACTATAAGCCCCACAGAGTTTCCTGTGAATATACTAAAGGAAACTTTGGTGCTATGTGGCTATGTGAGCAACACCACATGGCGCTTCAGTCAGCGTGGGAATGATGGGTAGTGCACGGATTTGCCTGTACTTTGTTCTTTCGGCTCCGTTAGACCTTGCGCCGCCTTGTCGAAAGTTCAGCAATTGTTGAGCAGTTCCGCTTCACAACCGGAACCTGTGAGACCTACCAATTCTAAGTCGGTTCACGAAGGTCCATAATGTATCCGAAACATACGTTAAAACAACAACTAACACGGAGTCATCCGCAGTACCTTTCTCACGGAATAAAGTTTTATTGCGATAGCAATTATGTGGACACACTAGGCTGGATTTTGCCGCCCGCGTCATTCACGGTATATGTATGCGTATATATATATATATGAAAATGCAAGAAAGGAGGAAAACTCAGAAAAAAACTCCGGCGCGCGGAATCGAACGTGAGACCTCTGCGTCGTGAAAGCGAGGCGTTAACCACTGAGCGACCCCGGAGAACGTCCTTCACAGTTCAAACGACTTATCGCTGTTCACGAACTTGCGGGGGGGGGGGGGTGTTTTCAGCATTACCAGCAAGATGGCGCATTGAGCGCGTCGCCACATCGCGCGGTGGCGCCCCTCTAATCTCCTACGCGTACTTTGCCCGGCTTAGAGAAGGGGAGCGACGCTCCCTCGCTCGCTGTTATCTAGCGGTGGTGAGGACGGGAAGATCGTACGGCTTGGCTGCCCTCGGGCTTTACCTGGAACGATTCTGCTGTAGTTACCAGGCGCAAAGGATCATTGCAGTTTCCGTTTGCGAAAAGCGCGCGATTTTTCAGACACAGCGAAGTAACAAATGAGACCCTTATTCGTGTGCATCCGTACCTGTGAGTACGTTTCGTGCGTCATTTGTGCGTGAGAAGCGTGGGGCGCGTTTCGATCTGCTTTTCATTATGCGCGTGACCTTTCAGTTTGATGCTATCGCATTCATTGGTTCGCCTTTGCGGTAAAGTTGTGGCTTTTTTCCATCCATCAACAATAAACGAAACCACAAGTGCGTTGGAAGCCGCTAGCACGACAATTAGGCGAATCCGTGTACTCCCATCATTCTCATTGTGTTTGAACCAGCGCTGCAGAGTTTCCTCTAGCTAATATCGGGAAACTCTGTGATATACTCCACACGTCGCCGGTGCCCGTGTGATCAATAGTACATTTCAAAATAAACCTAAAAAAAAAACGTCATGCAGGAGCTTTGGCTCATGCAGAACTCAGTATACCTGGCTATTTCTTTCGACATACTTCATACGAATAGCGGAAAGAAGTGTTGTACACAATCGCGTTCGTATAGCTTCTCAAAATCTAACTCTTGTGTTGTATTTTTTGTTTGACACTCAAGAATAGTTTCGTTTTTATGTGTCAAAACCACGACGCGATTGATACAGCTGTCTTAGTGAAAGGCTCGAGAAATTTCGGCCACGTCGGGTTCTTCAGTATCCGCCTAAATCGAAGCTCATGGGCCACTAACAGACTGCATCGTCCAAGTGTGGCAGCCGCTGTCGGGATTCAATTCCGCCACCTTTAGGTAAGTGGTCTACCACCGTAACTACTGGGCCACTGCTGCAGGTTGTTGGGCAATCACAATAAAGTATGCTGCTCTCTCCTAACCGACAGCAGCATACCCAGGTTGCTGCTGACATTTAAGTTCTTCATTTTACGTAGTGATTGAGCACACTTCGAAAAAGCTTATGATCGTCAAAGCTGGCACGAGAGTCACCTCAATGTCAGACTACTTTATAACTCGTCATTCCTTCACGTGCTTGCAGGAGTACGAGAGGATCGTCGGTGACGAAGGGTCCAGCGGCCGAATCAAGATGGCGGCGCAGCTGAGGTTGCTGGAGCATAGGATCTTGGCCACCGTGCTGGAGACCTTGAAACAGTGCGCGAACCAGCGCGCCCAAACCTAAAGAAACGTTTTTGTTTTTACTTCTACAGCGTTTCCCGTGCGGTGACGAATACCAAATCCGCGTCAGCCGTCGCGTCACTTGAGAGCTGGCGAACCGCTGCTGCAATTGCGCCGATGTTTCGCGATACGAAGTGCGCCGCTCGTTGGCGTATTGCGAGTGCACTAGGTTAAGATGAAGCAGGTGCATGCCTATAGTGATGTCCAGCACGGCACGTGTATATTTCATGTGTTTGGAGGAATAGTTTGCTTCGACACGTGACTGCTGCTTATAACGCTGTATTACCTTCAGTACTGCCATCTAGATAAATCATCGATGAGGTAACAGGACGAATAGTTAACTTTGACATGTTACACGCGTCAAAAAAGACCATTCGTCATGTGGCCGCACTGATGGTTTGCCTGGATGGCGCTATATATAAGAGGCTACCATGCAATGGTTGACATTAGAAAAAGCAGTCAACTAGCTTAACCTGTCTTTTATTAACTGTGCCTTATTGCAATATGGCATCGTCAATTAGGAGGTAAATGAAATTTGCGCGTTACATTGTCTACTGATAACTGCACAGGGCATTCTGCTCTCCGATTGTAATGGTATTGTACGGTAAGGATAGGTATATCTCAAGACTTTACTGTGGGTGACTAAATGTGGGGCTGGTGTTACGGTAATGAAAGGTTTTAAATCGCTCGACCGTCCGTCGTATCGTCGCAGTGACGTTGCAGCGTAGTCTTCACATGCTCAAGCTGCAATATGCAGTTCTATGTTCCGGATTAGAATTAGCGGAAGTTCACAAGCTCGGGTGAATACAGATTGCAGAAATGGTTTAGCGGTGGCTGTTCGCTAGAGCTCTCAAATTACGGCCGAAAATAGCCGTTTACCGTGGCATTTTACGGGGTAGTGTTTGCTGCGGGCATGGTTCAATGGGATTTACTAAACTCGTCAAGGCTGTCGTCTGCCGCACAGAAAAAAAAAAAGACACAACATTGTCTGCAAATGTCAACAAAAAGCTCTTATTTATTTACGTGAGTAAAAGTGATTGTAAGACTTGTGAGTTGTCATATTCTTCTTCGACACATTTGTTTCTGATAATCGACTATGGCGTTCTCACGTGCAATGTGGGCTCTTTACGAGATGGGAGGGTCACATATGATGGAGGCAGTAGTGGTAAGAGTTGCAGTATTAAGTATATTTGTTGGGTTGTAACATCGAAACACCACCACATGATTATGAAATACGTCGTAGTGGAGGGCTGCGGAACTTTCCACTATACGAGGTTCTTTAACGGGCGCCTAAATCCGAGTACACGGTCATCAAGCATTTCCGCCTTCATAGAAAACGCGGCCGCCGAAATTTCATTCTACGACCTGCGGGTATGTAGTTGAGCACCATAATCACTACAGCACCGTGGTGGGTTACTAACAGCTGTTGTATTGTAGGAGCAGTAGTAGCGTAGAAGTAGCAGCAGCAGTGACAGTAGTAGTAGTAGTAGTAGTAGTAGTTGTTGTTGTCGTTGTAGTAGTTGCAGCTGCGCATGTCCACTGCATGAAGAGAAATGAAAGGTTAGTGGGTGGGGTACACAATTCAGAACTCCTCGGGTCTTTGCGGTTTCCTGGGCTTAGCCGAAGATTGGCAGTTGGCTCTTAATGCTATAAAAGTACTACAACAGAACAAAAGAGTCGTAGCGGCGTTCTTTTGCTACATATATGAACCGCACATGAATAACTCTCTTTGAGAGACACCTTCATTCCGTTTGAGTAGTTGTGAGACTTAACAACTTCCAAAACAAAAGTGTTAGCGTGCCTGTTTATTAGCGCACATCCCAAGCTGTAGTTAGACATGTGAGACTCCCATAGGCGGTAAAAAAACTCTCCAGAAATTCGAAAGTGGGTGGTGGGATAGCCGCTGTGGTTGCTCAGTTGGCACAGCATCGAACGTGTTCTTCGAAAGTCGCAAGGTCGGTTCCTGCCCACAGCAAGTTATCTTTTCATCCACTTTTCTTTGAACTCATTTACATTACAATTACTTCTAATAATATCCCCTATATTTTCTTTGGCTTATTTGTCTGTCAGTTTTCACTAATATTGTTTCTAACTAAGATAATGAGTACTTAAATTTACTCTTCTTTCCTTAACTGTCTTACTGCGCATATACTTTTAAAGCTACTAAGCTCGGCAAAAAATACTGATTAGAAAGCTGTAGATTAGCTTCAGAAGCGTAAGTTTTTAGCTTTATATATGGTAACTATTAGTTTCTCTCTGCTTACTACAGGTACCCGCACAGTAAGACGAAAAAAAAAAATAGAACGTGACAAATCTACTTTCGCGCTTATGTTCGCCACGATTGCAGTGCTCCTGAATCTTCCGCGTGCCAATAATCGCAGCACTCAGCTGCCTATGCTGCGTCGACAGGACAGAAGCGAAGGTGGTAGCCGTGCGATGACGGACCTTTTGATAGTGGCAACATAAGAGATAAACGCTGCGTCTACTTATCGCTGTCACAAACCACCGCGATGGAGCCTTATCGTATGTACGCGCACGTTAAAGCCTAACTATATGCACAATAGGGAGTTCTAGAATACCGTTTACAAGCGCTGCAGGCGTTGCGGGCGTAGCGGGCGCCATATGAGTTTTAGAATAGCGTTTGCCCTGCTGCGAACCGACACGCACGATCGCAGCGACACCGTAGCCTCGAAACCAGCGCTTGCAGGCCACATGCGGGCCGCCATCACCGCCCGTAGCCTCGACACCAACGCCTGCGGGCCGCCATCACCGCACGCAATTTCGGATTTTTTTCGCGTGTTTTCCGCGAACGCCGACTCGCGTTACGGCGCGTGCGCAGTGGCAGCGACCGCACCGCAAGGGCTCGCGGTGCGTTATTCTAAAACTCCCGAATTTTTGCCGGCGTATTCCTGGCGTTTTCCCAGCGTCACGTGACGACGGCGCCACTAGTGACGGGGGCCGAAACGTCCACGTCAGGATGATCCAGACATCTGCAGTGTCGACGCCGGAAGAGGTTCGATGAATGGCGAACCAATCAACACGCGGCTCGCAGCAACTTCCGCAACATAACAGCATCGTGGCTGCTGCCAAAACGGCTGTCGCCCACCTCGGATCTGTTAGGTCGTCGCCGTGCTCTGTGTTACCCGCAAGTTCTAAAATGATCACTGTATTTGACTTGACCTGTTCCTATAAGTCCTGTGCAGTTGCGCTTGCTACGACACACAGCGATGCCAGCTCCGGATGGTTTTGAATCGACTTGATCCCGGACCATTTTTGTGTGCAGAATATACTAGGACCTTGGGCATCTGCCTCAGTTGCGCAGAAAGCGGCTAAAGCACTGCTACTTTACCTAAAGTCAACAAACCTGAGCGACCGCCTGTAGACTGTGTGTGCTCCCCGAGTGTGCTCGTGATTGTGTGTACCTTCTCATCTCTCTGCAACCTCTTTTCTCCCCTTCATCCCTTCCCCAGTGCAGGGTAGCAAACCGGATGTGCGTCTGGTTAACCTCCCTGCCTTTCCTTGCATCTGTATCTCTCTCTCTCTCTGTTCCTATAAAGCTTCGGCAGTAAGCGCTCGGTATAGGTGACCGGTAATATTGGAAATCGCGGGGAACTGTGGGATACGATGGCTTCGGTTCGACGCACCACGCGGGTTAGCAGCCTCACGAGCACATTTTTGTACCGCTACGTTGAACAAAAAAAAAACAGCTCTCCGTGCAATGTCAGTGCTTTAGAAGTTGATTTTTTTGTATTTGCTAACCGTTACTGCGACAATGACAAGCTACGAAAGCAATGAACGGTAAGGAAACTTTTTTATCGCACTGAAATAATCTGCAATGCTTTTATGCTGCTCGTGAATACTGTCAGTTTGGCTAGCCGATCAGTCGATACAAAAGACAGTTTTAATTGTGTGATACGTAACTGAAGATATAAAATCACCAATTGAAAAGTCTCAGGGGATGAAGATGACCGTAGCAGTGCATGCTAAGAGCTCATTTTGGGATCGCTGCTGCAGCCGACATCGTTGGTCGATCAGCATGAAGCGCAGCACTTATTGAGCGCGTTGAGATGTGTTTTGTTTGTATTCAGCGTGCCATATGCTGCATTTTTTTTTAGTCGGAGTCAGATGCTTATTTCAACGCTGATCTTGGTCAAGCTGCGTGGCACGGTGCATAAACAATACAGTCAGACATAGGCGGCGCCGAAAAATTAAAATCGTGCGCTTCATATTGATGATGATGATGATTCCGTAGCCATGGCTCGTACCCACTCAGGGGGATCGGCCAAGAACCGATGAATAAATTCAGTAAGATTTTTATATATATATTCAATATCGAAACCACCTACTAGAGAAAAAAAATGAAGACACCCTAGGCAGAATGAAAGGAGTGCAATCGTTGTTTTGTCACTCGTTCAGATCAGGCAATCATTCATTACTTTGAATAGGAATTAGCGTGGTTAAACAAAGCTACTGTTATGTTGGAACATTTTTGCAGAAATAATAATCACGCAATTAAAAACTTAATTCTTTTACTTTCATTGTTTAATGCACTTCTTCCTTTTTGTTCCGCCCTGGCGCACAGTTTGTCCAAGATAAACGAAAATGAACTCGCCCAGTGCTTCATATAAACTTACTCTTGAGTGAAGCTCTCTCGTTTTTTTTTTTACTTCTATATGGGTGCGATGGCCGACGTTCATCTCTTACGGCAGGTAGATTTCGTCCGTGCGTTCCCATAATATCTTTCCTTAGCGCGCCTACGTTACAATTTATTTGTCAATATAATATTCGCAGCAAATTCATGCGTAAGCTTTTTATTAGTGCGGAATACATACGTGCCTGTGATAAAATTGTCTTCGCACACTCTAGCTTCAACGTTCGGTACCGTAACCCCCGTATTCACAAACGTTCCTCGACTCGACGTTCACCCTTCACTTGAAAGAGTTGAGCAGTGCGCCACTGCTCGGCTGAAAATGACGCTGCGCTACTCAAGAATCGCAGCAGATTATCTCTGATATGCAGTGACTTGCCGTTCATAGAGATGGCGCTTCCATCGGCTTTCTTAAGTGAAGGTGAAGCGTTGAGTGAAGGGACGTTCTAGAATACGGGGGTAAGGCTACCTGTCGCTGTGGCTCTCTTGACAGCCGCGGCCCACCTCATTTTCTTTTTTCGTTCTATGGGAATCGATACCTGCGTTTGCCTTTAGCGCTCGAGTAGGAACAGCCGATGGCTGAACAACTGACCGTGGTTTATCAGGACAAAGATAAAGGGGCGACAGCGCGCGCGAATCCCTAATATGCTGAGGCTGCTTCGTATGACATTACAACTAGCTGCTATCGCATCCATTGCTTCGTTCTTTAAGTCCCTTCGCCACCCTGCATTTAAAGACAAGGGAGCGGTTTTTTCCTCGTCTTCGCTATAGACAAATTCCACCGGACTTACGTCACGAAAATGCGGTGGCGCTGTCTTGGTAGGCAAAAGACGCTCATCCTACCATAGTTTCTGCTGGGTTTTCAATGATGCATGTGGTGTTCTCAGTTAAGCAACGACGAAAAAAAGAACAGTACCGACGAGCTGCGTCGTGGTTGGATGTGAGTCGCGTCCCACAAATTATAGCTTTGTTTGTTTGTTGATGGTGGTGGTGGTAGATACATGTTATAACAAAAAAAATGTACCAGAGAGTTGCGGCATATTGCATGATTGAGTGGCAAGACTCTATTCCGGGATGCAAATGGATTGGGCCGCTGCTCGAGCGCGCCTCACTAAAGAGCGTTGAACATCCACGGTCGAGCAGCCGAGCAGGTACTCCTCCCAAGCCTCTCTAGTTAAAATAGGGGAACGGGGTGAAAAGGGAAGGGGGTTGGTAGGGCACAAAGCGACGACATTGTAGGTGTCGGCCAGGACCTGGCAGGTCGAGCAGGTGCCACTGATTTGAGCGAAACGTGTCTGGCGACCGCCTGACTTAGGTAGGTGTGCATCTGGAGGCGACGTAGTATTCGCTCGTCCGCTTTCTCCAGACCACTTGCGGGGTCCGGGTACAGGCGGCGCGAAG